GAATAAAAAGAAATAAATCCAAATATATTACTAAGAAAAACAGCAAACCATGAAAGACAAGAAAGACTCAGAGAAAATCTTCATGAACAACCACAAAACAAATAATAAAATGATAATAAATACATATTTACCAATTATTACTATGAATGTAAATGGATTAAATGCTCCAATCAAAAGGTGACAGAATGGATTAAAAATATAAGACCCATCTATATGTTGCTAACAAGAGAGTCATATTAGACCTAATGACATCTGCAGATTGAAAAGTGAGGGTACGGAGAAATACTTATCATGCAAATGGATGTCAAAAGAAAGCAGGAGTAGCAACAATTATTACCAGGTAAAAAGACTTTATTCATTCATTCATTCATTCATTCATTCTTGAGAGAGAGAGAGAGAGAAAACAAGCACAAGTAGGCGTGAAGGGCAGAGGGAAAAGGAGAGAATTCCAAGCAGACTCTATGTATAGCATGGAGTCCAATGTGGGGCCCAATCCCGAGACCCTGAGATCATGACCCAAGCCGAAATCAAGAGTAAGACACTCAACTGACTGAACCACCCAGGTGCCCTGGATAAGATGGACTGTAAAACAAAGACTGTAACAGGAAACAAAGAAAGATACTATGTAATAATAAAGGGGACAATACAGCAACTGCAACCCAACAGTTGATAGAGCAACTGTAAGTATTTATGCACCCAACACAGAAGCACCCACATACATAAAACAGTTAATTACAAACGTGAAGGAACTAATTGATAGTAATACAATAATAGTACGGGACTTTAACACCCCACTTAATTCAACAGACAGAGCATTCAAACAGAACATCAACACAGAAACAGTGGCTTTGAATGACACACTGGGACAGATGGATTTAACAGATATATTCAGGACATTCCATCTTAAATTAGCAGAATACAATCCTTTTCAGGTGCACCTAGAACGTTCTTAAGAGTAGATTACATATTAGGCCTCAAAACAAGCCTCAACAAATTCAAGAAGATCAAAGTCACACCATGTACATTTTCTGACCACAACACTATGAAACTAGAAGTCAACCACCAGAAAAAATCTGGAAAGACCACAAACACATGGAGGTTAAATAACATGTTACAGAACAATGAATGGGTCCACCAAGAAATCAAAGAAGAAATAAAGAAGTACATGGAAACAAAATGAAAATGAAAACACAAAACCGTTTGGGATGCAGCAAAAGCAGTTCTAAGAGGGAAGTTTATAGCAATATAAGCCTACTTCAAGGAGCAAGAAAAATCTCAACAACTTCATCTTATACCTTAAGGAGCTAGAAAAAGAACAACAAAGCCTAAAGCCAGAAAGAAGAAAAAATAATAAAGATTAGAGCAGGAATAAATGATATAGAAACTAAAAAAATAATAGAGCAGATCAATGAAACCAGGAGCTGGTTCTGTGGAAAAAAAAAAAAAAGATTAAAACTGATAAACCTCGGGGCGCCTGGGTGGCTCAGTGGGTTAAAGCCTCTGCCTTCGGCTCAGGTCATGATCTCAGGGTCCTGGGATTGAGCCCCACATCGGGCTCTCTGCTCGGCAGGGAGCCTGCTTCTTTCTCTCTCTCTGCCTGCCTCTCTGCCTACTTGTGATCTCTGTCAAATAAATAAATAAAAATCTTAAAAAAAACCCTGATAAACCAAGAAAAAAGGAGAAAGGACTCAAATAAATAAAATCACAAATGAGATAGGAGAAATAACAACCAACACCACTGAAATACAAACAGTTATAAGAGAACATGAAAAACTATATGCCAACAAATTGGACAATATAGAAGAAATGATAAATTCCCAGAAATATATAATCTATCAAAACCGTAACAGGAAGAAACAGAAAATTGAACAAACTGATAACTAACAAAGAAACTGAGTCAGTAATCACAAACCTCCCAAAACAAAAGTCCAGGACCAGAAGCTTCACAGGTGAATTCTACCAAACATTTAAAGAAGAATTAATCTGTTCTTCTCAAACTACTTCCAAAAATAGAAAAGGAAAATATCTAAATTCATTCTATGAGGCCAGCATTACCCTGATACAAAGCCAGATAAAGACTTCACCAAAAAAAGAGAACTACAGGCCAATATCCCTGAGGAACACAGATGCAAAAATTCTCAGCAGAATACAAGCAAACCAAATCCAACAATACATTAAAAAAAAAAAAAAATCATTCACCATGATCAAGTAGGATTTATTCCTGGGTTGCAAGGGTGCTTCAACATTTGCAAATCAATAAACATGATACATCACATCAATAAGAGAAAGGATGAGAATCAGTCATTTCAAAAAACGTAAGAAAAGCATTTGACAAAGTACAATATGCATTCATGATAAAAAGTCTCAATAAAGTATAAAGATAAAAACCCTCAACATATAAAGACTGCAGATGAAAGACCCAGAATTAATATCATCCTTAATGGGAAAAAACTGAGTGCTTTTCTTCTATGGTCAGAAACAGGACAAGGATGTCTACTCTCACCACTTTTATTCAACGTAGTTTTGGAAGTCTTAGCCACAGCAATCAGACAACAAAAAGAAATAAATGGCCTCGAGATCAGTAAGAAAGAAGTACAATTTTGACTATTTGCAGATGAGATACTATATATAGAAAACCTGAAAGAGTCCACCAAAAGGCTGCTAGAACTGATAAATGAATTCAGTAAATTTTCAGGATACAAAATCAGTGCTCAGAAATCTGTTGCATTTCTGAACACCAATAATGAAGCAGCAGAAAATGAAATTAAGAAAACAATCTCATTTACAGTTGCACGAAAAATAATAAGATACCTAGGAATAAACCTAACCAATGAGGTGAAGACCTTTTGCTCTGAAAACTGTTAAATACTGATGAAAGAAATTGAAGACAACACAAAGAAATAGAAAAAAATTTCATGCTCATGATTGGAAGAACAAATACTGTTAAAATGTCTATACTACCCACTTAATGCAATATTCCCACTTAATGCAATCCCTATCAAAATACCAAAAGCATTTTTTCCACAGAACTAGCACAAACAATCCTGTAATTCGTACAGAACTACAGAAGACCAGGGGCGCCTGGGTGGCTCAGTTTGTTAAGCAGCTGCCTTTGGCTCAGGTCATGATCCCAGGGTCCTGGGATCGAGTCCTGCATTGGGTTCCCTGCTCAGCGGAGAGCCTGCGTCTCCCTCTCCCTCTGCCTGCTGCTCTGCCTGCTTGCGTTCTCGCTCCATCTAGTCAATAAATAACACCTTAAAAAAAAAAAAAAGCACTAGAGAAGACCCCAAATAGCCAAGCAATCTTGAAGAAGAAAAGCTGGAGGCGTCATAACACTGGCGTTCAGGTTATGTTACAAAGTTGTGATCAAAACAGTGTGGTACTGGCACAAAAACAGGCGCATAGATCAATGGAACAGAATAGAGAACCTAGAAATAATCCCACAACTATATGGTCAATTAATCTTTGGCAAAGCAGGGAAGAGTATCCAATGGGGAAAAGACGGTCTCTACACCCAGTGGCGCTGAGAAAACTGAAAGAAACTGGATGACTTTCTTACACCAAACACAAAAATAAACCCAAAATGGATTAAACACCTAAATGTGAGAGCCGAACCCATAAAAATCCTAGAAGAAAACACAGGCAGTAACTTATTTAACATCTGCCGAAGCAAATTTTTCCTAGCTATGTCTCCTGAGGCAAGGGAAACAAAAGCAAAAATAAACTACTGGGGCTACATCAAAGTAAAAGGCTTCTGCACAGTGAAGGAAACAATCACCAAATCTGACAGACAATTTACTGAATGGGAGAAGATATTTGCAAATGGCATATCTAATAAAGGGTTAGTGTCCAACGTATATGAAGAACTTACAGAATTCAACATCCAAAACCCAAATAATCCAATGAAAACACAGGCAGAAGACACAGACATTTCTCCAAAAAGACATCCAAATGGCCAACAGACACACGAAAACATGCCCAACATCACCCATCATCATGGAAATATAAATCAAAACTACAATGAGATATTACCTCACGCCAGTCAGAATGGCTATAATCCACCAACAACACAAGAAACAACAGGTGTTGGTGAGGATGTGGAGAAGGAACATTGTGCGGTGTTGGGAGCACAGAATGGTGCAGCCACTGTAGAAGAGAGTATGGAGGTTCCTCAAGAAGTTAAAAACAAAACTGCCTCACGACCCAGCAACTGCACTAGTAGGTATTTACCTAAGGACTACAAACGATAATTCAAAGGGATACATGCACCCCTATGTTTGTGGTAGCATGATTTACAACAGCCAAGCAACGGAAGCAGCCCGATGGCCATCAACTGATGAACGCATAAAGAAGAGGTGGTAGGCATACGCACAACGGGACGTTCCTCAGCCACAAAAAGAATGAAATCTTGTCATGTGCAACAATGTAAATGGAGTTAGAGTCTAATGCTGAGTGAAATCGGTCAGAGAAAGACAAACACCATACGATTTCACTCATCTGTGAGATGTAAGAAACAAAATAAATGAGTAATGCGGAAAAAGAGAGAGAGGGACAGACAAATCAAGAAACAAACCCCGAACTCTAGAGAACCACCTGATGGTTACCAGAAGGGAGGTGTGGGGTAGGGGTGGGTAAGCAGGAGATGGGGATTAGGAGCGCACCTGTGACGAGCCCTGGTGACAAGCACGAATGGAAGTGTTGAACCACTGTGCTGTCCACCCAAAACGAGTACTACAGTGTATGTTAACCCACTGGAATTAAAATGAAAACTTAAAAAAAATTATTGTTAACATTAATCCCACCGAACAGCTCCTCTGTCCTCCCAAGAGGAAACACCAGATAGTGAAGTTAGCATTTGCATTCATCCGGTCTGTGTAAATCTACAATCTAGCAATTTAAAGTGTCCTAATTCTAGATGTATTCTCCAGTGAAATTCCTCTCGATGTAGTTATTTGTGCAGGAGGGCATCTGCGGCAGGGATGAGGGGACCCGCAGCTTACGTGAGACAGGAAGCTGGCCGTGGACTGGGACGACGGCACGTTCGAATGGGAGCGGGCGGCTGCGGGCGGCTGCAGGAGGCGAGACTTCACGGAAGTGTTCGAGGTGAACCCGGGGCCCTGAAGTTCCTAGAAAGCGACACAGATGGGAGCAAAGACGGTTGTCGACCGACACCCAGAACCGTGGGATCAGATGCATTTTGCAAACATAATCTGTCTCGGGTGCTGAACATCTATCTACAGAGTCATCACGCAGAGTATCAAGCCAGATGCTTCTGCCCAAGTTACTCTTCGCAGACGAAGAGATGCTCAGGGAGGTGCCTTCCCGCAGCATCGTGAAAAGCCCTGGAGCCGGGAAGACACCTTGGGGTGCCGCTAGGCTGGCTTCTCGGTTTTGCCCAAGACCCCAGGCGAACTGCTCAGCCTACGTGAGCATCTGTTACTGAGGCTATTGTGGGGCGCCCGGGTGGCTCCGTGGGTTAGGCCTCTGCCTTCCGCTCAGGTCATGATCCCGGGGTCCTGGGATCGAGCCCCGCATCGGGCTCTCTGCTCAGCGGGGAGCCTGCTCTCCGCACCCCCATGCCTGCCTCTCTGCCTACTTGGGATCTGTCAAGTAAATAAATAAAATCTTTTAAAAAAAGGACTTCCATGTATGTCTGCAGCTTTTAAATATACTTGGAACACAGATGTACATGTACCGTTTTTAAAGAACACGCTTCTGTCACGCAGATTAAATCACGTTTGCTATTCCCCAAACAAGACAAACACACTCGTATGTTGGGGCTTTGCACTTGCTTGACCTCCTTCTGTATGGAAGATTCTTCTTCGGGAATCCTCAAGGCACCTCTGTTGCTCACCCCTCTTATTACAAACATAACACAGAATACGGTGCTTTAATTTGCTACCAAACTGGTAACAGGAAAAGGATAGGTATAGAACCTGTAAGGATGTTTATACAGAATTTATAATGGCTAGTATCAGATAATGTTGAAAGTACACTTGAATGTTTCTAAGGCACATGAAGAAAATATATAAGTACATCAAAGAGTGGCACTATTTTTTGCTTAAACTATTTATGATGAAAAAAAAAGACCTCACTTTTACATCCAAAGTGTGTTGAAGTTTTAGGCGCACAGACTCTTGTTCCTGACGCTGTATGATATCTTGACATTCTGCAAACTGCAACGATGCCTGCGAACAAGGACCACATGTGGTTTATCCTCTGTTCTCTGCACAGTTTGATTAATCTATAAATAACTGAGTTGCTGGCTCTTCAAGGGAACTTCCCCCACTCTTAGCACACTAACTTGCATTTATCTATTTATTTTATTCAATAAACTTAGAACAACTGGAGGTCCTGGCTTTATTCTCTGTATCTCCAGCATCTATACAACATTTAGTACATGAAGGGCATTCAAGAGAATGAAGAAACAGGATGAAATGAGCAAACAGCTTTAACAATATATATATATATATATACACACACATATATATATACACACACAGAGAAATAACAACTGAAATTCACCGAGTCAATTTTTTAAAATTTGGTTTTAAAACCAAAGTTGACATAGGTGGGATCACAGATCATTTTACCTAACCATCAAGGCTCTGATTTCTTAAGAATCAAGGACTAGTCTGGGTATATTTTTAGCCTTTCAGAGTTCTTGGATGACAAAAAGATTTATTCCTCTCTGATGAATGGTAACTACAAATACAATGTCATTAATCCTTCTCATTTTTTTTTTTTTTACCTTCTGACACTTCGTGGTAATTCTTCTCATTCTTTAAGCTGTGTTTACTGCCTGCATTTTCTGGACCCCAACAAATGTCAGACACTAGCATTACACTATCATTTTATTGATATCATTAACAGACTGTATTCTACCTACTAGCGTTCAACTCATTCTGTGACAATAAGTTAGAATGGAGACATTCTTATTTCTTCAGTTTACTGAGGACATCAGGAGCATCTCATGTCTTATATCTTGGTGCCCCTGTGAGTGTGTTAGCTCCAAAAAGAGAATTTGGCAAAATGTTAGCATTATAACTATGTTTTAAAGCACAGAAGAGCCTTCTCCATAGGAAATGGTTTTTCCTTGTGCTAGGTGACTGTGGTATAATAGAGATTTGGTTCGTATCAACACAGGGCTTTTATTCAGAGCAAGTCTACTTAATAGCTATGTAGCTGATAATTACACCTTTAGTTAATAACTACCTTATCAAGGGCAACTTCCATATTCGCAACCTTTTCTTTCAAACGCCGTTCCTGGGATCTCAGGACCTCCAGTTCTCCAGCCATCTTGTTTTTTTCTGTTGCAACAGTACTCAGTTCCTGGCTTAATTTATTCTTCTCTTCTTTTAGAAAATGCTTTTCCTGTAATGATAGAGGAAAAAGTATCAGAAATAATATACTGATTTAGGTGCCCTGATGTGATGGAAATATGAAACTTGCATAAAGGCCTGAACTGTAGTTCAACTCATACGCCATTTAATTGCTTTGGAGTTGGAGCTGGGAACTGTTGGAATTGTTACCATGGACTCTCTTATTTTTATCACTACTGGTATTATTACTTCTTCTTAAATCTTCATAAATCTTATTAAATCGTTGATAAAACCTACAAAACATGTCATAACTATGTTGCATAAAAAGAGATGGCATGATGGTGGATTGAGATTGAGTAATCACACATTCAATTTTACTGAAATTTGTTCAAAATGACAAAAGAGATTTAAAGAAGATGCCTTTATTTGAAAGCTTTGGGGGCTTCTATTTTGTTTCAAGGTTGAATATTCATTTCACGATGCAGACTACTGCAGACCCCAAAAAGATGGGGCACACGGTTCCTGCCCTCAAGGTCCAGTGATAAGAATGTTCTTATTGATCTACTTCTGGAAGAGTCTTTGGTATTCAACAAAATCTCATTGAAATTCATTCACATTCCTCTAAAAAAAAAATCGTGGACTAGGGAGACAAAAAGAAATGCACAGTAGTCAAGTAACCTCAACTGACTGAGTCTGTATCTCTTTGTTTCTTTGAGAAAATGTATAATATAAACAAGGTAGATGGTGCTGTCGCTGTAATAATCCTTTTGGATGGAAATAATTTTTTTTTCTGATTAGACAGAAAAGGCTTCAGAAAGAAAGATAAATGTGACAAGTTGTCTCCCTTCTGTGTGAAGGGAATGTCCGTGGTTTTTGATGAATCCCTTCCTCTGGGTGGGGGCAGGCACCTGTGATAATGGCAGGCAGTGACCCCTTATGCCCTAAGATTTCCCAAAGAGGATGAGAATAAGCATGGCTTTAGGTCCCAAATGATCAAATAATCAAAGGAGGGAAAAAAAAATTAGGATGAGAGAAAAGGAAGGAAGAAAAAAATAGGAAAAAACCTGAAAAAGGAAGTAACTCAGTCCGTATGCTGAGGGGTCTGCACAAACCCGTGCCTTTGTACATACTTGGGACGGTTCTGCCTCACTCTGAAGAAGGATGTCACCAGGTCCTTTTGGGTAAGGGGAAAGCAATCACTTGAGCTGCCCCTGTCTTCTACGTATGCTCTTGACTTCCTACCTCTGTTACAGTCAGTCCTGATATAAATTCCTTCCAAATTGGTGATCTGTTCCAAAGTGACTGATGTATCAGGGAACGTCGGAGCACAACGCCGATTTCACACTTATTATGCGAGTTTCATTTATGAGAAATACTAAGTCAATGAAAAATGACGCCCAGCTAAAGAGAGCTGGGCAAGAATTCACAGAAAGCATGCATGCGCACTCCTCAAACACCCATCTACCGCTGCCTCAGCTTACCTTGTTAGGAGTCACATCCATAAGCATCCGGTGTTAAGAAAACCCCCCCTTTACCCCCTCATAATACCTCACAAGCCACAACTCGGATGTACACTTCCACAAGCAACCTTCAGGTCTTTTTCAAGATTAAGGGCCATATTTACTGTAGTGTTTATGTGTTTCTTCACCATTTAACATGTGACATGTGTAAAACTGTGCTACCATTTTCATTCGGTTCCTCTTTCTGGCACGTCACTGATGAAATCTGTTAGTCGGGCCCTCTGAATCCCACTGTTCTCAGCGTCCCCGGGGCTCGGACCACACAGTCTGGCAGAGCACAGTGATTTCAAGAACACACACGTCACATTATTTCAGAACACACAGACCACATAAAATCATTCTGTCTCTACCAGGAAAGTCCTTTTGCCCATTTTCTGCATTGAAAATACGAGCTCTTTCAAGGTCCTACTCAAACGTTCCTTCGGAGCTTTTCCTTCATTCTCTTGCTCAGAAAGAGCCTTATGTCTCCTGTGTACTTTGTAACTCTGCCATGTCTTCTCCTGCCTGGCATGTATTTGAGAGGGACACACCGGCGTCCTCCACTCCGAGGACACGGACTCACCTTATTTGCGTTAGTCATTGCCTCTTCCAAAAACTGTATCTTGCTCTGAAGTGCATCTATTTGACCTCTTTTAGCCGTGATTTGCTTCTGCATCCCCATGGCCACTTTCATAGCTGGGGGGAAAAAAGGAAGCAAACCGCCTTCATTTTTAAGGTTTCTAAATTTTGAGCACCGACTATAAATTGATGGTTAAATACTGGGACACAGGGACACGATTCTCCACAGCACCTGGACAGTTTCCAGAGAGTGATATGACAGTTTTCAGCAATTGCTCAGAGATTTTGAGCTGAAATTGATGTTTTGTGATTTCCTTCCTATTGGTGTTAATTTCATTGACCGTAATAACTTGCCGTATTGCCCATGGTTATAATATTGACCGAATTCATACTCACCCATATAGAAAACATATACATAAACACAGTCATATAATGAATAATGTGTATAGTATTTTTACTAAAATAATTTTCCAGAAACTCATATTCAAAATACCATACAGACATCTCTTACTTGTTCATATGTTATCCTATAAACATGTCACAGTGACTGTGTAAGGCATCTATCATTAAGTGATGTTTTTAAAAAGTCCTGCGATACCACAAACCATTCAATTTTCATTCCCATGGTTACTGCATGTGTTTGGAACTCATTGCTGTTTCAACCATCACATTCGCAGCGTGGGCATATATGGAATTATTTTAGTAAAACTAGGGACGGGATGAGAATGCTCAAGGCAGGCAGGAGGCAATGACCAGTTTGGACACGGCAGGCCCCTGAAAAGATCTAGGACGCTCATCCTCACTTGGAAATTCAGAGCCAGAGACCCATGTTGTTTTCCATTGGCAGCTGAGGAAAGAGGTTTGAAAATGCCATGGCTTTGGGTCAGATCCAGATAGAGCATAGAGGGTGAAAAGAGAAACTGTATCATTCTTTAGGAACAAACTCAGAGGATGAAAGGTCTGACTTCTTGCTAATAAGACACGGTTCCTCTAGCTAAGCTGTCAAAACAGGGCTGATCCGGCAGAGCACACGGCGTTCCTGAGGGAGCGATAGTCCACCATTCGCTCACCGCTCACCTCATTCTACGGCTCAGAACAACTCTGGTCTCATTAAGCTGTCATGGTTGGCCTTCGAAACTTTTCTTCAACCTCTTTAGTGTGATTGGGGATGTGGCTAAAATGCGTGGAGGGCACTGAGGAAAGGACTCTCTTTGGTGGCGGTGGGGGGTGTGGGGGTGAGGGGGAGTGGGGGCGGGGGAGTGGGGGGGGAGGGGACGGGGGCAGGGAACAGACCCCAAGTGGGCCTCCTGAGCGACCTCTTCAAACCCTACCATTTTCTTGGTGTTAACCAGCAAAGGAAAAGCTGAACCTGCAAGGGAGGCACAAAATACAGGATGCTTCGAGAACCTGTGTGCTGCCTCTGGACAGGGGCCACGATAATCTTCTCTGAATGGCTCCAGTTTTAGTATATGTGCTGCTGAAGTAGGCACAGAAATCAATTTTTTGACATTAAAAAATATTGAGAAATAAAAAAAATATAGACTTTACTTAGCTTAATGTTTATTCTTTTTTTTTTTCAAAGATTTATTTATTTATTTGACAGACAGAGATCACAAGTAGGCAGAGAGGCAGGCAGAGAGAAAGGAGGAAGCAGGGTCCCCGCTGAGCAGAGAGCCCTATGCAGGGCTCGATCCCAGGACCCTGAGATCATGACCTGAGTCAAAGGCAGAGGCTTAACCCACTGAGCCACCCAGGTGCCCCTAGCTTAATGTTTATTCATATATATTCATATTCATTTATACAAACAGCTGTACCAACATCGATATGAATGATATAAGACAGCAGATAGCCTTCTCTCTCAGAATTAATACGGGCAGCAGGGGACAAAGGGAACAATGGAGTTAAGTGGTGACAAGGGACCACTCATCCCGGCAGCTCAATTCCCAGGGCTTTATCCCATTTTTACCACAGAGAAAGAATCAGGAACTGACAACCACAGACTTATAGTTTATGTTGATAATGAACATGGGAAAAATAAGGGGATGAATGAAAATCATCGGTAACTTGTATTTTTAGCAACAGTTCCTTAAGAGTAATTAATTGGCACTTATAGATGTTGAGATCTGTTAGAAATTACTGAAACAGCCACAGGAAAAGACTCCGATATTTCTGGGATTAAACGAAGCACATGGCCTTTTCCCTAAAAAACCCTGAGCAGAATGTCTGCTCTCCGACACCTGGCATGGGTGCCCCTCGCTGTGTCTCTCACAGGGTGCGGCACCCAGAAGAGGTGGCACGTGATGTGTCCAGGTCTGTGCTTTAGTAAATCTAGACTTATTAGTTAGAATAATGGAGTTAGAAGCAGGAGAATAAAATCCAGTAAAGCATACCATGACCATCGGATCCTTCCATCGACTTCAACGTATTTCTCGTTTGCTCAAGTTCAGACTGTGCGGACTTTAACTGCATTTTCAGTTTGTTTGTAGTAGCTTCCATTTCTTCAGTTTTGTTTCGGAAATTCCTTTTTAAGACTTCGTAGTCCTCTGTACCGTGCGATAATAACCAATGGTTACTTTTGTCTATGCCATTGCATGAAGTGTACCTTACTTGTAATTAATAGTCGCAGAATTGTAGGGCTGGAAGAGACTTCCTTTAGCGACACCATCATTTGTTAGAGAAATCAGATGTACAGTCACATTTCCTGAGTGGATCCTCCTCCTTTACCCCCTGACCAGTCACCGTTTTCTCCCAACCAGTGTAACTGGCTCACACCAGCCGCATCTTTCTTGGTGGTCATACCCACCACAACAGATCTCACCACCACCTGTAGGGAGGTGAGTCCAAGACACGGTAAGTAACCGGAGGTTGCCATGTGTTCTGTCTTTTCAGCTCCAGTAATTACTAAAGTACTTGGCACGCACTCATCATTCTACACAAGAACACACCCCCACACACCTACTCACCTTTTTATATACTTATATATGGTGGATTCACACATAAAGGGGACAGAGAGAGCCAAGGCCTCTTCGCCGCGATGTCCATGTGGATGTCCCAGCACCACCCCACCAGCTGTTTCAGACTGACTGGAGCTCACCCTCCGGCCCTCAAGCCCGCTCCTCCGAATGCTTTCCCTCTCTCGGTTGTTGGTGACCAGCGCACCGTTCTCCCAATACCAGAGACCTAAAGCCTGAAGGCTGCACACAACTCCTCTAATCACAGTCGTCAAAATACTCTTCATTCTTTCTCTCATTTTCACTGCCACTGCCTTGGTTCAAGTTTTCATGGCTCCCTGGGGCCGCTGCAGGATCCCCTCTAACTGGCTGGCCTCTGGCCCTATAGTCTTGCCTTTCTCTATTTACCTGCCAAGACACTGTCCTTTCAAAATGTACATTTGATGACAATGATCTCCTACTTAATGTCTCTTGCTGGCTCCGCACTGTCTGGCTCTGCCCGTCTATTCTGCGTCATTTCTTAGCCCTGGTTCCTTTGCACTTTTACTCAAGTGCTTCTGAGGTCACATTGTTATTTCAGGCCTTGTGCTTTTGCCCACGATGTTCTCTCTGCCTGGGCTGCCCTCCCACCTCTTTTTTTTACCTGCCAAATCCCTTTTCTTCCCACAAAGTTAGCAGAAGAGGTGTGAATCCTACAGCAGACTCTCCTCCATCTGCACCCAGCACCCTAGGCCTCACCCACTGTCCCATGACCCATTCTATAGAGCTCTGGCTCGCAGCTAGCCAGGATCCTCACTCTTGTGTTCCCAGGGCCTGTCTCAGTGTCTGGCCTAGTAAATGCTCAGGAATCCTTGACTGTGGGTGTGTGTGTGTGTGTGTGTGTGTGTGTGTGTGGTAGATGACACCTGTAGCACATTAATCATGAACTAAAAATATTTTATTTTTAAATTTAAGATCTTGATTGATTTTTCAAGAAAGCTCCATGTCTGTTTACGCATGTTGCTTCATGATGAAACCTCTCATCAAGCTGCTTGACTCAAAGGACTCAAGGTTTCCACTTGCCTCACCCTTTTCTCGAAAACTCCGTAAAGAAGGGCGCCTGGGTGGCTCCATCAGTGAAGCCTCTGACTCTTGGTTTTAGCTGAGGTCACGAGCTTGGGGTTGTGCGACTGAGCCGCCCGATGGGCTCTGCGCTCAGTGGGGCGTCTGCTGCTCTCCCTCTCCCTCTGCCCCTCCCCCACTCACACACACTTGCACTCTCTCTCTAAAATAAATAAATCTTTAAAAAAAACCCCAACTCAGTCAAAAATTTCATGGACGCTGAGGCTGACTCAAATTAACAGTTAATGAGTGCAAGATGTGGGGGCTCTGTGAGCAGAAGCGGGATTTCGGGGCAGCGGGACTCTCCCTGTCCAGGATGTGGGAAGAGCGGCCATGTTGCCGCCACGTTTCGCAACAGTCCCAGCGTCCGCGCTGGACTTCCCTGGCCGCGCCCCTCTAGTTGTCAGCCCAACGGGAACCAAAGGAACCTACCTGTGAGGGTGTTCAACTCAGTCCTACCGGTTTTCACCTCATTTAATAACTGATCTCTCTCCTGTTTGATGTCCTTCACCGCGCGCAGCCGCTCGGAGCCCGCATTCACCAGCTTCACCTTTTCCAGCTCCAGGTCACTCACTCGGGCCTCAAGCTCCCGGATCTTTGCATCTTTTTTATCTTTTAAAATCTAAATGTAGGTATAAATATAAGGGACGGAGTAAGAAGTTAAAAAATATATACGTACAAGTACTTCTGGTGGACATTGTATTGGTGTGCTCTCTGTATTTAATAGCTTTTCACTATTTCCTAGAATACTGAATTTTTATTTTATTATAAAACCTCAACAGTAAATGGGAAAGCAAAAGGAACACTTCACCTTTCTTTTAACCCTAGAAGTCCATTTCTAATATCGTTTGCAATAACTCTTCATTATTTCTATTCCTTTTTTTTTTTTTATTCCAAAGAGGAATTTAACTGGGCCCTACTCTGTGCCAGGCACTACTTTACATCTTGGGACAGAGGAGAGAGGGGACGCCTGAGGGGAGGCAAGTGAGGCCCCAGGCGAGTGCCTTTCTGAGCTCTGAGTCCTAGATGCCTCACTAAACTTACTGCATCCCGGTCTTGAATAGCAAGAAGGTCATTGTCCCCAGGGAGCTCACATTCCAGTGAGAGGAGACAGACAACAACAACCATTTAATAGGTACTAACGAGCGACCTAAAGAAGGAATCAAAGAAGGTGGGGAACCAGGACGAAGGCCGGGAGGGCTCTGCACGTAAGGGGTACGTTGGTATGTTGACAAGAGCCCAACTGTTATTCTTATTAGAGCCTGCAACAGGGTTGGCCCTCCGCTGGTGTCTGGGAACTTGGACTTGGGAGGGTTCCCACCACTCCAACTGATAAGAGCGGCTCTCTGTGCCTAAACCAGTTCTGCAAACAGAATGATTTATGCGGAGCACCTGCTCTCCTTCTGGAAGCCCGGAATACTTGCCAGGCCCTGTGTGTTGGTGTGAGCAGTCCTCCGTATGAAAACCCTGGGGACTGGGTCTCCAATGAGCTGCCCTGGTTGGCAACATGTGACACGCAGTCTCGGACTCTTGCTGGGGGAGGGAAGTGCGTCCTCCGTGACTCTACAGGACAGGACTTCGGGAAGCCTGTGCCTCACTTCCTCCATGGATCTTTGCCCGTTGCTGACTTTGCTTTTTATTATTTCCCGGTAATAAACCGTACCCAGGAGCACAACGACATGCTGAGTCCTGTGAGTCGCCCCAACGAACGGCTGAACTGGGGGTAGTCTTGGGGACCCTGACCCTCTCTGCTGGGCAGAAACCTCACAGAGGGAGGTAAAGAAGCAAGTGATGTGACAGGCTCAGGAACAGCTCTAGGCACAGGTAATGTGCTCAGGGAACAGCAAGGCCATCAGAATGACTGGCAGAAACCAGAATGTGCTATCCCAAACATGCCTCTTTGGCATAAGGATTATTTTGAGCTGATTATTTTGAGAAATAGCAGGCACAGGGGAAGGTCTGAAAAGAGAGGATGCACTTTAAGGAATACTCAGACTTGTAAAGGAAGTCTCCATTTATAAGGATGTCCCTTGGGAAAGGAAGGATGACTAAATATAAGAGAATCTTATCAATGGGGAAAGCATGGCTTCAATCTACATACCAAACCTCCTTCCTTTATCCACAGTTTTCCTAGTTACCTTCCCATGGCTTCTCTCCCACACCCTTCTTTTGGCTAAAGATGGTATTTAAGCCTGAATTCTAAGCCACCTCTCTGAGTTACTAATTTCCCTGGGTTTCTCACTTGTATATATGAGATTCATTGACTGGTTTTAGGATTTTATTTATTTATTTGAGAGAAAGATTTTATTTATTTGAGAGAGAGAGAGTGTGCACATATGAGCAGGGGGAGGGGCAGAGGGAAGAGAGGAGGGAGCAGCAGACCCCCCAACCCCAGCCCCGAGCAAGGGGCCAGAGAGGACTCAATCCTGGGACTCCGAATCATGACCTGAGCCAAAGGCAGACACTTAACCAACTGAGCCACCCATGCATCCCCTATGAGATACATTTATTAATAAACTTCTTTGCTCTTCTCTTGTTGATGTGTCTTGGTTACTGAGAATTTAGAAAGACAGATGGAGAAGGATTTCTCCTGCTCTACATTGGAGTGGACAAGCATGAGGAGGAAGTAGTCAGACATAAAGTCAGAGAGGGAGCCATGGGCAGGACAATGTAAGGATGTGAAAGTTCATCCTGAGTGAGACAAGCCATTGGAGAGTTTTCAACATGGGAGTGATAAAATGTAACATTTAAAAATCTAATTCAGGCTGCTGTGGGAAACATAAACAGTGGTAAGGGTGAAGGTAGGTGTGCCCTTGCAGTGGCTGCATTCCCACCAACAGTGCAGGAGTATTCCTTTTTTTTTTTTAAGGTAGGCTCCATGCCCAGCATAGAGCCCAATGTAGGGCCTGAACTCACCACCCTGAGATCAAGACCGGAGCAGAAATCTACAGTTGGACGCTTAACTGACTGAGCCACCCAGGAGCCCTGCGTGTTCTTTTTCTCCACAACCTTGTCAACACCTGGTGGAGATGGGTGTCTTCTCTATGCTACGCGCCCAAGCCCAAGTCCGTGTTGTACGGAAGAGCTGAACTGCTATCTTGTACACCTGAAGTGAATACGACAAACTACGTTAACTGTTCTTTTGTTTCACAGATACGGAAGCCAAGATCGGGCAAGCAGTGCAGTCGGTGAGTGGTGAGGGACGGGATTCAGTGCGAGGTCTGTCTGGGGAGGGAGGCAATGCTTCAGACTGTGGGATCAGAAATGGCTTCATGAGGAAACTGGATTTTCTGATGTTCTCCTCTTTCATACCGGCAGTCCCGAACCATTTCGGAGCCACCCACTCCTTTCAGAATCAAATAAAGGGATGGATCCTTTCTCACAAAAACACACAGATGCACGAATACCTTCAAACCATCTCAGAGGGTCCACAGACCCTCCTCACGGAGCCCCTCTTCAGTGACTTGAGTCAGCTTCTTCATGAGGGTAAAGACATTTCAGAAGCTAAACCGCCAAAACCCTTTACAGACCTTGAACTCCTGGAGCTCCAGCCTCCTGTCGTTGATCTCCTTCTCCAGCTGAGCCTTTTCCACTTGCATGGCGCCCGCCGTCCGCCCGTGCTGGCCAACCAGCTGCGTCATGTTCTCAATCTGCTGGCGCAAAATCTCGATCACCTTGTCCTTCTCTGCCATCTGTAGCCGGAGGGCCTCACACTCGGTCCGCACGTTTCTGAGGTGGTCGCCCTCGGTTTTCAGGTGCTGCAGCTCCTGCAGTTTCAGGTCCACGCGGGAGCGCAGCTTCGTGATCTCTGAATTGGTGGCCTCGATGGCTCTCTCCTTCTCCTGCAGGGAAGCGGTCAGGTCCGACACGGTCCTCTCCGAGCTCTCCAGGGTCATCTTCTTGGCGGTCAACTCTTCTACCACTTTGCGGAGCATCTCTTTGGTGGATTCAAGCTGGGCAGTCAAGGAGGACACTTTCTCTAGACTTTCATTCTTGCCCTGGATTGCTGCCATCTGATTGTGAAAGAGAAAGAAATTTTCATGGATTTGGGCAGATAGATGAGTTTAAAACAAGTTAGCTCGCAAACATGAAATCACGAATCCGGTAATAGCGACTTAGGCTAACTCAAATCGTTCTGCTGTCACGACTCTGTGCAGACCACAGACCAACTTGAGTTAATTAGACCGAGGTGGAGAGGCAGTCATTAAGTAATAATGCTGCTCCGGAATGGCGTTCTTGTGTGGGAGCTTGGGAAGTTTCCTCAGACGTGTTTTCTGGACCGGTTTCAATTAGGATGGGGGAGGTGTGGCAGGGCTGAGGCTGCCGCTCTCCCTCACCATTCCCCTCCAACTTGCCCCTTAATTCTGCCTCTGAGAGAAAAGTGAATAATGGCTTTTCTCCAACACATGCTCACATTCTCAGGTCCTTGTCCAGAAAAGGGTAAGAATCTAACTCCCAGTGGCTCCTTTCACCTTTCTTCATGCCCAGGTTGGGCTGAAGAGTAAGAAAGTGCTTTGCCAGGATTCTAAGCCAAAACTGGACCCTTTGGTTTGCGTTCACATTTTAGGAAGCTTACTCTTTTGTGGAATGCTTTTATGTCTCTGTGGCAATACGTGGCACTGGAACCGTGTCCTTTCAGTCCGAAGGCTCAGGGCTGTTAATAAAGCATTCCACATTTTGCCACTAGTGCACTGAAATGGGACTGCATCCACCTTGTGTATCTCTTGGTCTCAGCCAGCCTGGGGGAAAACCAAAACAAACAAAAACAAAAACAAAAAAAAAACCCCAAAACCATCTGCTGGAAACCTTTGATCCTGCTGTTCCTCAGACCCCTGGTATGGTGTGATGCTTTTCTGAAATAAGCAACCATTAGGTTACCAATTTCCAGCAACCGGATGACAATCTTATTAGTCAACCATGAACAAAAATGAGATGAGGCTTAACACTTTATTTAATCAGTGGTCAAAAATATAGAAAGAAATGACAGGTTTTCATAACTTACTCAAAGAATCCTAGCTCTATTTTAGGGCTCCTTCCAGGTCTGTTCATGTTTTTTTACAAAAGCTCAACTGGTAACACCTCAAGTCCATCTTTCCCTGTGAGGAGACTACTGGGGAAGCCACCCCGTGTCCTGTCTGACCTGCCGCTCCATCTGGCCCTGACACTCGCTCTTCATGGACTTGAGGAGGGCTTCCAGGCGCTGCACCTCCATGTTCCTGTCGTCCAGCTCCCGCCGCAGGTGGTCGATGGTGATGCTGTTGCCTGTGTCCCGGTCCCACAGACGCTTATTCTGCTCCTTCTCCAGACTCAGCTCCTTCTCTCTTTTATGCAGGTCAGCCTACAAGAAGTGAGGTATGTCCCCCGACTTGTATGAAATAGAGTAAAACTCTTATTTTCCTTATATCATTTTTGGAGGTTTTAGGGGATTTGAAAAGACTTTGATTTTGGAATCTTATTTTTTAATGGCTTAAGAACAATTATTTACTAGATAGAGAAGTTAACATTTTGCTTACTTAAAACTTCTTGCATTACAAGTAAATCTCAATGGACTAGACCCCGCACAATATAGAATAATATTAAGACACAATAGATTTTTAAAGTCATCCTGTTTTTGAATTTTGGGTTTTCTAGCAGAGGCATTATGCCTCACATCGAGTGTGCTCCTGTAATAAAGAAACACTCAAAAGTTTGCAAGAAGAGCAATAGTAATGTGGCCGACTGCTTCAGAAATGACAGACAGGACAGCGTTTGGTCCTGGGAGTAGAGCACTGTGGGCTGTGAACAGAATTACCTCCCTCTTTCGTAGTGAAAAAAGATACACAGAGTTTACTGTTAGCAAAAACTAAATAGAGTAGGAGAAACACAGACACACAGCTCTTCAAAGGACTTAGGACCCAAAGGGAAAGGTAAGACACAGACACAAAGAACTGGAAGTGGTTTTTCACTGAAGACACAGAGTTAAGCAAGAAGGAGATCAAAATACTTCAGGAAGGCATTCGAGTTGGGCCTCACCAACAGCTGGGAGGTGCCGACACGGGGAGAAAGGGACTGGAAAGGGACTTGTGTGGTTTGGTTGGCGCACGGGGCATATGCAGAGAGAAAGGGCTGGACTGGTGACCGGGAGCTGGGTCTGGGACAGTCCCGAAAGGTAGGGAGTCTGGCTTTTATGGGGAACGTCATTTTTGAATGAGAGTGACATGACCAGAGGGATATTTTATGAGAGGTGAGCAGGGCAGCACTTTATGGGCCAGACGGAAGAGGGGAGAGACTGGAAGTAGGAAACCGGGTCGGGAGACACTGCCCTGCCCTGGTCTAAGGACGGGCTTGGGAAAAGGGGTAGTGGCGGTAACGATGGAAAGGGCAGGAAGGGTTTCTGGGTCTTTCAGACAATCTGCAAGATTTTCACGTTAGAACTGAGGGCCTGAGGAAACTCGCAGTGGGAGGGAAAGAACTGAAGGATTATCCCAAGGTTTGGAACTTGTCACACAGTCGCCAGCCCTGTCTTAGCGCGTGGCCCTCCAACCCCTGCCGGCCTCTGACGGCCGGCTCCGTGTGCAGAGGGCGCTTGGGCCTACGCAGAGCCCGGGAGGGAGAGGGATTTCCTCTCCTGCGCTGCTAACATCAGGCAGAGTGCCAAACGGGTCCTTTCCTAAATTTCCCAGCCTCTGGTACCTCTAACAGGGCACAGGTTGCTTCACTATTACTGGAATCTTGTTTCCTTAAAAAAAAAAACTCTTTTTTTTTTTACCTAAACTTCCTTTCAAATTGTCTGTGTTTTGAATGTTATTTGGCTCTAAACTAAACACCCAATACTACCTCAATTTAGTCCAATACATTCATCTAATTGAAAGATGGGGCGGTTGAAGACTAGCTTCACCTAACTTATAAGCCGTAACTGCTTAAGGAAAAAAATAGGTAACGTTTAGAATATTACTTATATGCAAAACTTGAATATTGTCAAGACAGTCTGTTGCGTATGTATGCACAAATATTACGTAGAATTTGTAACTTTATAAAGAAAACCATTTTTGTGAAATACTTTGGTGAGAAACTTCCCAGAATTAATATTTATTTATTTATTTATTTATTTTTAAAGATTTTTATTTATTTATTTATTTGAGAGAAAATAAAAGTGGGAGAGAGAGCATGGGAGAGGAGAGGGTCAGGGGGAGAAGCAGACTCCCTGCTGAGCAGGAAGCCCGAGGCGGGACTCGATCCCAGGACTCCAGGATCATGACCTGAGCCAAAGGCAGTTGCTTAACCAACTGAGCCCCCAGGCGCCCCCGGAGTTAATATTTGGAGCACAGTCTTACCAACAGCTTTTGAAGCTGATCATCCAAATTTCCAGATTCCTGACTGAACTGGTCACGTTCCGTCCGTGCCTCGGTTAGTTCTGAGTTGGCAAGGACTAACTGCTTTTCAAGCTCTTCTATCTAAAAGGAAAGTACAAATCAATCTGACTATGTTAGTGGGGAATATAAATAAGTACAGCTTTTGGGGAACAAATGGTATTATTTTGAGGGCAAAAATAAAAGCTTATTGTGTTTTACAAAGTTTTCTAAACTTAAGGTCTATGTAGAATTTAATTTAGCCAGGGAAATTAGCCAAAATGCAGTATTTGATACTGTTAGATATGGGCATTGTCTATAATCTCTCACACTATTCAAAGTTTCTTTCCTATGAATATGCGTTCTATCATTCAGTATTTAAGGAAGCTTGGTGCGGCATGAATAACATTCCGTGCAGCCCTCACAAATGACCTGTACTATATGTAGAAGAGCTATTTTGTTTAAGACTATCAGAGTTTCAATAACAAAAGGCATTGACCATGAAAGAATGACTGGTAACAACAAGTTTTTCCATTATTGTCATTATTAGTCAATTTGGAAAGGATGAATGAACTTACATATATGTATATAAATATATTAACTTAAAATTATTTTAAATTAAACATGTTAACTTAAAATACTTATATATATATATTATGTGTTTCCATCCTCATTTCCTTCTACTATAAAATGGGTGACTACCAGTTTTGAAGGACTGGTATAGGCGCAGTTTTCTCTCAGAGACACAGCAGCTGCTTGATCTGCGTGACTGTGCGTGTCCATGTGTCAACATGGCAGAAGGCCCGTCACTGTTAATAGCATTCTGACAGCCCTCGGCCCGTAGATGCAAGGTAGGCAAAGAAGTCAAGAGCTCAGATGACACAGATTGCAGGCTTGGACTTTAGCTGAGCCGCACAAATTCACAATTTAGATATGGAGATATTAAAATAGTGACAACATGTTGATACTTAGTGTGATCACTAAAATACTATTTCATCAGCCAGTAATAAATCCTTCATATCTACATAAATGCTAAATATCCGTTCTTACGTCAACAGGCTTCCAGATTTACTATGTCAAGAATAAAACTTATGGATTGGTTTAGAGGACAAACTGATGACAATTTCTTAGAGAATATATCAGCAAGACTAATTTTTCTTGATGACTCTTGTTTTTTTCTGGACCAGGTTCATTGAAGATCTTCATTTATTAATTCAGCACATATTTATGAGTTATATAAACACATATATATGCAATGACCTTTTGATAAGTGTGAAATATGAGTACATAGAACTTATGTACCTTTAACTACTCATACATATACATGACGGCTTCACATTTACCCAGGGCAGAATCACAGCCTGTAGGGATTGGAATATACATTTTAATATTTCATTGGACATATTTTAAAAATGCCTTTATATTTGACTGTATGTTAGATATAAGTAAGTAGTTCATAAGAATTAAATGTACATAAAACATCAGGCTACCAACAGAAACGTTAAAAGATTCTAATAATCCTATGAAGAAGTTCTTGCACTCTTGTACTCCTTTGGGGACGTATACTGAAAAAAGCCATACCACAACTCAACCTCTGTGACACGAGTAGCTTTCTAAGGAAGATGGGGGAATGATAGCAGGTAATATAGTCTCTTCTGTTCTATTATTATTGGGAAAGACCAAATCAGCACACACTTAGTAATAACACTAAGAATCAGGCCACAAACATTTATTGTGGGTAGACAAATGTAATCAGAGAGGGAACATGACCAGGCTAAGAGTCAAACACTTTAGGTTCTGGCCCATGTTCTGTCACATGACCTCTCTAAGTCTCAAGTTTTTTTTTACCTATAATTTAAAAAGAATATTCTAGATAATCTTTCAAAGTCCTTTCAATTCTGTGTCTAATAGCTTTTTACCTGAGAAGAACAGTATTAATAAAGCTGAAATTCTGTAATTTCCACCTGTTTTTGGAAACAAAATATAGTCGAAGAAACCCCATTCTGAGCTATAAATGTAATAAGAACACCTTCAGTGTTAAGAGTTACTCACATGACTAAAACATTTTCTAGTCCAAACCTGGCAAAAAAATTATTTTCTCTTTGAGCAAAGTATTTGTCCATGTGTTTCAAAAGCTTAAATCAAGACCTGCTATTTTGTCCATTTTCATTTTTTAAAAAAGTCCTGGGTCACCCTTTGATACCATCAGACTGGAGGGTAAAAATTCAGGAGACCAAAATTTGAAAAAGAAAAGAAAGAAAAGAACAAAGAAAAAGCAAAGAGCCAAGTCCCATCTTCCCACCTAAGTTTATCAAGCGTCAGAAGGTCCTCCAGACCCCTGCAGGAACATTGGTTTTGTAGTTGTCAGTACTGACTCAACTGCTATAGCTCTGCTTTTACCTTTCACTTTTTCGAGAAGAGATATTTCTGTTACTTCATCACTCAAGAAGAGAAATGGAGAGTGAAAGGGAAAACCACTGAAGTAGCAGCTGAGCTGAGCAAACCAGCTGTACAGAGCACTACAAAGCCTTCTGAAACGTCCAGAATAGAGACTGACGGCCGAGATACGTAATCAAGGTTTTTTTCTTTTTCTTTTCTTTTCCAATAGCAGCACTGGTTTTCCCTTTCACCATCTATGAATCTACTTTCTGTTTTGGATCACTGGACAAGTAAGTATTTGGATCTCATTCGAATCTTGACAGTGATTTTAGAGACGTTACCAATCAAGCCGAATTGTATCTCCTGTTTTCTGTGCCCAGAAAGACGACACAGACATCGGGTACTGAGCGGTGCTGTGGGTCAGCACGGGAGTGCGTTGGCAGACTGCGCAAGGAGGTTTGCACAGACTTTCCCGCACAGGATATAGCTCCAGCCAGTGCTACTAAATGTTTACTTTTTGAATGTGAAATTCAGCCCCAAATGCTTTCAAAGTAGGAAACATAAACTGAGAATCCAGATCATGAGATAGTTTTGTTGTCAAAAAGCGAAAGTTAAGAGTAAAGCCAAATCTACAGAGCCAATAGTGACAGCTTCTACTGGTCCAAGTTCGTAAAGGGGAATTCTGGAGGTTCTCCTAAAATGGAAAGAGAAGAATAGAGAAAAGCATTACAGTAGAACATGTTTGTAAGCTGCAAAAGCTACATCTACAATTTTCTTTGAAACACAGTCTCTACTTTCATTGGTATGAAAATATTTTGTTAATCTGAAGACACACACTGTCCTCCTAAAGGACAATTTATGTTTTCCAGTTGGAAAAGTTTTGTTCAGACCCATCACATCATCAATTCTTTTAAATAATAAGGACGCTTTTTCTGAAGGAGTCTGACCTCAGGTGAAAATACTGTTTCTCATAAAATATGTTGATGCGTAGTATCAACACACTCTTCTAAGTTTCTTCTCACAAAAATCCCACTTTTAATCATAGCTTTTATGTGTTATTTTCTTTGATTTTTTTTCCTTAGTGTTATTTGGGTAGTATATACTAATACACTCACTAATAAAATCTATTTTATTTTCTATTTTAGCAATGTAAAGTCAAGGTATATGAAAATGCAAGAAATTAAAACAAGGATTTGTGGGTTTTAGATTTCATATTCATTACAACAAAAACACTTCATAACAATGGAATATTTCATGACTTCCAAATGAAATCCTTTTGTTAACTAGCTTGATTTTTCACATGTATTGATGACATTTCAGTCCAAAGTACATTCAACTCTGTATTAACCTGACAAGATAATCTCCTCTCAGTGCTCCCTGACTAGAGGGAGTTCCTAGTAAGAGCTTAGTTAACCGCCATCTTGCTGCCAACTCCATGTTTTCAATGTTGCTAGGAATCTCACTGATCTAGATTAGAAGAAGCTGAGGTAGTATGTCCCCCTTATTTTTATTAAATGTTGCCTATTTAAGACTGACAAAAGTATTGGTGATCCACTATTTACATCAAAGCAAAATAAGATAATGATGTTAACATCCTATCTGCCTGTATCATCATATATCCATTCGGCCTCACAACATTCATATGAAAAAGGCTGCAGTCATTCCTCTGGATGCTTATGCTTCTACATGCCAGAGAGATAAAAGTTTATAAAAATTCAAAAGCTGTTTTTGTGTTCTTTAGCCGTCCCACAGTCAGTATTCGCTAGAATTTCCCACCAGGCTCACATTTAGAGCTGGGCAGCACGGCGCAGCATAGTGCCGGTGCGTCGGTTAGCAAACAACGGGTGATAGCTTACGGGGGTCCTTTTTCCAAGCACCATTACCATGGAGAGCTAGAGCTCTTTCAAATTAGGTAAGACGACACAAGTGAGCTGAGTTTTGCTTAGGACGTCATAGCTTTTCAAAGGGTTTAATTTGTCAATAAACAACGAATAGTTAACCTTTCCAAGACAGGCAGAACAGTGATGAGTCTCGGTCACTGCGGTGGACTAGAACACCCCAGCTCCCCCCTTTCCTCTCTTGCTGTCGGACCGCCCGTGCTCACTTTTGCCAAGGTGCCTACCTCTAGGAGACTGACTACCAGAGCCTCCTTCTAGCCCCTGCTGCTGAAAGCATCCCCATCCTGCGGGGTGGGATCGAGACCTCTTGTGCAGGCTTGGTCTGCCTAGAAAGGGGTGGCATTCCTACTATCAATCTTCAGGGGAAAAGCTCGCCCTGAGAAAAGAAATTAGACCACAAAAAGCAGGCCTTGGAGAAGCAGAAAAGAATAAATGTTTCTCTTTGGGCTTCTGCTTCTTGGTTTAGCCTTTAAAACAGTCTAAGGTTCCTGAAGGCTACCCTAATACGCAGTTGGAAATGACCTTAACAAAGGATTTAGGCTAAGCCCTAAGGGAGTCCTGTGCAAACCGCCACCTGCAAGCACCAGTTCAGCACGTATCAAACCAGCATCTGAAGAGAACAAAGAGCCAGGATCCCCCACGTGACGGGAGTAAACACTGTTCTGCAAAACTTGCCTCAGTCCTATGTGTGTAGCAGAGCCTAAAGTAGGCTATTTCTTGCTGTGGGTAGTGACCGAAAATGCTGGAAAGCCACTGTGGCAGGGGATCCAAATCTCGAAACCGAGGTTATGCTGTTTCACATACTCTTTATTGTTCAGCGCTTAGTAAAGCGCTGTCTAAATGATCTTAGCAGTGCCGCAGGGAATGAAGGTTGAGGTTTCACATTCTGGGCTTGAACTGGGGAGCCGAGGGAGAAGAGCCCCCTCCTGTGGCCAGCACAGGGCTGACGGGGCCCCTGAATGAAGCAGCCCAAGGGAGGGCAAACGTCTGGAAGCATCAGAGATGCGCTAGTCAGCGGCTTCTTCCCAAGGGAAGCTTTTTTCTTGTCCTGTTCCCCTGTAGAACGGGGCGATTTTTTAAAGGAAATCTGTTAACTTCCTTATATTCTATTTCTTCCCAATCAGCTCCGTGTGAGAAGGGGGCTAAAAGTGATGGTTAAAGCAGGAGGCTCTCTGTATTAGAGTTTGTCTTCCAAACGGAGTCAATTTGGAGAGGAAAGGTGGTGTCCACAAAGCAGGGCACGGGGATCGCTGGTGTGAACTGGGCTGCCGCGGGGAAGCAGGCAGGACGGCGGGCACCCCTCCCACAGGGAATGGAGAACACCCGCGCCTCTGAATGGGAGCTCTCTGCTTGTTCCTTAGGGTCTCTATTGCTTTACACATGCTTGCGATTAACAGCAAAAAAGACCTGGGTAAGTGGTGCATAACGATAGCGAACTTCTCCTCTTTAGCTATGGAAAGTGAGAGAATAAAAACAACAGAATATCAAATTTTGAAGTTTTAAAAGGGTTTAAGAGAAATTGTGTGATGAAAGACGCAGATTTATTGTCCCAATTGTTTTTTATTTAGACTAATCTTATTAATTCGGTTTGCTACCCACACGGCGATTAAATCTGGGAGTTGAAGTAAAACCTAAGAGGTAGGCCCTCAAGTACTGAGTAGTAGGGGGGACTGCCTTGTTCCAAAATATTTGTTAGAGCTAAGCCTGTATAAAAAATTCAAGCGCTCTTATTTTTAACTTATTTTTTTAGAAACTTACTTGAAGTATGCAAAACTTTTTTTCCACAAATGAATTAATTTGGGCAAATAATTTGAATTAAAATTATTTATAATTTTTTCATCAGATGTTGTGTTCAATAATTCATCAGTAGCATATTACACCCAGAGCTCATCACATCACATGCCCTCTTTAAAAATCATTTATAATTTAACATATAGATGTTTGGCAAACTCCTACTCCATCTTAAAAGCTGCTTTTAATTTGACATTACTCTGTTGCCTCATTTTCAAATAAACTATTAAAAATTTGGAACTGAATCTGTGCATAATAGTGTGTGGACACAGAGTGGCCAGATCTAACCTCACCTTGTCTTCGTACATCCTTTTGGCTTCTCTTAACTCAGAACGTAGCTGAGAAACAGTAGATTCCAGATCGCTGAGTTGACGCATATACATTGAATTCTGGTTTCTTGCTTGTTCTCTAAGAAGAGTTTGAAAGGGGGATAAAAGCAAACAGCAAACTAAGCAGAAGTGTGATGATATCTATTCGTACGCCAGCATTTAGACATGGCCACTAGTTCTTTTACATCATATAACTAGGTCAGAAGTCTTTTATTTTCCAAAATAGCTTCTCAAAAGCTTCAGCTCAACCATGCTGCTAAGTGCTGAAGCTAGACAGTGTGTATTAGGTTCATTTGTTTCATTTGTACTATTTCTTTCTACTTTGGTATATGATTGAAAATGTCCCTGTAGGAAGTTTCAATACGTGTAAGCTCAAGTTATAAAATTATTTATATGTATACATCTATATTTATATATATATATTTACACATACCCATATATAATGTATGTGGTTTTGATTAATCCTATCTATCAGTTGTAATATGAACAATGTTTAAAACACCCAATTCCAAGAGGCCCAAATGCGTGCAATAATACTGCTTTTTCTTTCCCACTAGTAGAGAACACGGGGTGGCGGGGCGGCCACTGCCCACAGGCCTCGGCTGCACTGCGCCACGGACCCTTGTGATGTACTCCTGTCCACCCCCTGGCCAGCGAGGACAGCCTTACAGGGAATTCGCATCTAACCGCGGGCGTGCAGAGAGCACAGGCCCCCTGTCCCACTGCTCTTGAGCACAACAAGTGCGTGGCACCACCTGGGAAGGATTGAGAGAGACTGAGCCCAACATGCCCGTGCCCTGTCCTCTCAGAAAGGCAAGGAGCTTGTGGGCCGACAGGACGTGCTACTCCTAGTGACCATGGCTTTTAGAAAGGCAGTCACAGCACACTCGGTGTGCCAGCAGGGGAGGGAGACGTATATAGAGGCATTACTACCTCATGCCCTTCTAGGTCACAGGCAGAGAAACACACCAAAAGCAGTACCTGCTGTGTAAAGTACTTTAACACAAAAGAGGAGAAAAGCCTCAAGAACGTCCAGTTGCTCTCCGGTTTCCTACTCTCGAAGGAAATATCTCCACCCATTACGGCTGTGGGCTTGGCTGGCCTCCTAGGGCGGGCCTGTGTCATGCCTGGAGTCCTGTCCTGATGCTGACCTTGTCACTCTAACCCCACCCCCACCCCACCCAAGCTGTTCTCACTTAGGGCATTAATACTGGGACGGTGGTCATGTGACATTATCTTTGCATAATCCTTTCCATTCATTTAAATGTTAGAGAAGTTTTACTTTCTCCTAAGAAAGTAAATTTGAAAGCAAAAGCAAAGTAAAGCAAAGTAAAAATTTTAAAGCAAATTTTAAAAGACTTTAAAAGAGAACATTAATGAAAATAGAATATCTAAAATGAGGATTATGAATACCAGTTTCAAACCACCAGGACACACGTACTGAATGATTTCCAGCTGACTCTGGATGCTATTGGCCTGGCTTCGAGCACTGTTGGCTTTCTCGGTAAGGCCCGTTATCTCAATTTCATGCTCACTTATTAACTGCTCAATCCTATAAAAAGAATGTGTGTGATGTTCGTTATTTGGTATATAAGATTTTGCTTGACTACAAGTTATTCTAAAAATTAATGATTTTCAAATTTTCAAACGCTCTCAAATTTAGTATTCTGCTTTGACTTTGAATATGCTGCTTATTTTAAGTTTTAGAATTCAGATTTTTAAAAAAGAATTTTACAGTGTAATAAGTTACAAGTACTATATATTATGAGACACATGTAGGGAAGTTTCCTCTAAGCCAAACATATTACAAATATAACAACAGGTTTTTAAATATTCACACTAAATCATAAAGATTTTATATCATAAAGCTTTACATTAAGCTCAGGTCAGGTTTTGCCAACAAATGAGTTACAAAGACTCTCTCCTTGATCAAGCTTTAGTCAGACTCCTCGGAATCCTATTGTAGGCCTTGACCTTGGCACCCATCAACCCCTCCCCCAACCGCGCTGGCCTGCCCAGGTTTAGTAGGAATCTCGCTAAGTCTGTTTAGTAAGAATCCCTCCACCCGTGATGTCTCCGCTGCCCCACTCACCTGTTCCTTGGCTGTAAATCCCTACTTTCTTGGTTGTGTTAGGAGAGCTGAGTCTCATCCTTTCCCCCCAACACAGAACCCCTACTGCAGAAGCCTTGATTAAAGTCTTCCTGAACCTTTTAAACAAGTGTCAGGAAAATTTTCCCTTGCCACACACCAATGAAGAAAACTTCATTGGAAATTCAGAACATTTTTGATTTTGGGATTCCTGATGAGGAATTATAAACCCACGGTTTAGTTCACTATGACTTTCCGTACTTCAGCCAGAAACCCACCTATCTTGATGCTGTTGAAGAAGCAATTCTATTTTATTCTGGGATTCAGATTTCAGTGCTTCAAGCTGGTCCTCCACCTAGTTACAAAAAAAGAGATGCTCATTTACAGACTGGCAAATACACATCTTGAAAACTGGAGATTTTCCAACTAAAGGACCACTTTATTGTTTTTAAACACGTTATTTACTACTTGTCATAGAGAAAGAGACTGAGTGCGCATGTGTGCATAAGCAGCAGGGAGGGGCAGATGGCAAAGCAGACTCCCCGCTGAGCAGGGAGCCCAACGTGGGACTCAATCCCAGGACCCCGGGATCATGAGCTGAAGGCAGAGGCTTAACTGACTGAGCCACCCAGGCGTCCCTAAAAGGACACTTTAGAAAGAAACAAATAAAAGTAATACTGAAACCAAATACATTCTATCACTGTATTGTATTAGTTTACTGCGGTTGGTTATACTCTCATGAGGCCATACAGGCAAATCAAGCGAGTTCCCTTAAAGTACTGAGACAAAGTACTCTTGTAGAAATAACTGTTATTTTAGAGAACAAAAATGAGAACTTGGCTTACTTATAAGAACTTGAAAAATTATACACCTAATACTATTCTCTTAATGGATTTTAATATAAAATTGAATAGTGTTCTCACCACTTACTGGAAATATCCTCCCTTTAAGATAAGAAATCTCTGTGTCTAATTCTCTTAGGATTTTACTAATAGCCGAGCCCATGTTGCGGAAGTGGAGAGTAGACACACTGTCGTGTTCGTATATTTTCTTGCCTGAGGCTTCTTCGAAGTCGGCGAGGACGGAGCGGATTTCCTGAAGCACCCCCTCGTGGCCGAGCATCATCTTCCTCAGCTGTTCTACCTGCGCGTTGCTGTCTTTCAGCATGTCCTCCTTAAGGCACTTGGCAGCTTCGAGTTCATGAACTGTGTTTTGAAGCTGATTTCTTAAATCCTCCTGGGATTGACTCTCCCTTCGTCTATGAGATAAGTGAAAGGGAAGAAATAATATTGTAAAAATTCATATTCACACAAGTAGTTTTATACTACAAAGAGTAAAACCTTAAAATAATTTTAGGTAACGATGCCCAACCTGATGTCAGCCATGGCATCTCTCTCCATTTGCATCTCTTGAAGTTTTGTTTGCAAATCAATGACCGACTGCCGTAAGTAAAACTTCTGTTTCTCATGCAATTCATTGCTCTGAAAGAAAAAGAAATGCCATGCAAATCAGCCTTTACCAGAGGGATGTATTTCCTTAAATTATTAGGAAATTTGTAATAATTTCCAAAAATCCATATATCATTAATTTATTTTTATGTGTACTTCCTTCTCCTTTTACCATACTTCAGGGCCTAATTAATCATTTCTCACCTAGGTTGCTGAACTACCTTATCTAGCCTGTCTCAAGCTTGGCCCCTTTTAAATCTATTCTTAATAACCAATACACTATTTCTAAAACAAATCGGACTTCTACCTCCAGATAGGGATAGAAAGAAGTTTTATTTTTGAAAACAAGAAAATTGGTTACAATTTTTTATACAGAAGAGTAAATCCCCACTTCCATCCCACTTAAAAACTTGACAGCGGACAACCACCATCCAAAAGTCAAGGTGTTGTACTACAAAGAAATTCACTAAGCTCTCTAAAAACCAGGTATTGAGAGACCTCCCAGCATAACAAGTGATACCACGTGACCATCCCAAAGCAAAGCCATCAAGTTCTGCCTGTGGATAGAGAGTCTGGCATCAGCTTTTTACTGATCATCCTTGAGTATGAACAAAAACCAACCAACCAACCAACCAACACTGCTGGACACCTGAAGGAAGATTATAAAATGAAACACAGAGACCAAGATTAAACAAAGCAGCAAACACCAGAGAAAAGTGATCCAAAGAAACAAAGTAATGCAGCAGAAGAAGACCACTTCTGAAAACTTGTATTTGCACTGAGATTTGAGAGACATCACAGCTATAAAGTAAGAATGAAACATGATTCCAAAGAAGAGATCAGGTGAGAAGAGTTGAGTTCTTGGAAATTAAAAATGTGCTTCCACACTAAAAAGCTGCAATAGAAATGTTAGGAGTCAAGAAATGTCCCCCCAAAGCAGAAAAAATAGGTAACTTTTGAAAGTAAAGGTAAGAGATTTAGAGATATAACCTAGGAGATAACATTTGACTAACAGACCTGCAGAAAAAGAGAACTGAGAAAAGAGGGAATGAAACTATCAAAGAAAAAACTGAATTCCTCCAAGCTTAAAAGTACAAATCTGAAGACCAAAGGATCCACTAAATCCCCAGCACAATGAATGAAAAAGCTAAAATCCACACCTGAACACATCGTGGGGGATTTTCAGAGACAGAAGACTCTAAAGCTTCCAAGGACAAACCTAGATTAAGTAAAAGCAAAGGAGCAAGTGTCAGACGGACACCTACTTCTCAGTAGCAATGCAAAATGCAAGGACACAATATTTTCAAAGGACTGAAAACAAATGACTTTCAACGTCACCCAGCTAAAGTCACTCTCAGAATGCAAAGATCCATAAAATGTGTGCACATATTCCTTTTAAGTTTCTAAAGATGGGCTTTGATTAAATGAAGAAGTAGATCAAGAAAAAGGATGAGAGAAAACAGTGAATCCTGGATATCTTGGATCCAATTAGGAAAGCAATGACAAGAAAACAGTTATACACGGACCTAAGAAACTCACCCAGGCTGGAAAACAGGACAGAAGACTCCTGAAAAGTCATGGATCAAAGAAGAATTTAATGGGCGCCTGGGTGGCTCCGTGGGTTAAAGCCTCTGCCTTTGGCTCGGGTCATGATCCCAAGGTCCTGGGATCGAGCCCTGAGTCGGGCTCTCTGCTCAGTGGGGAGCCTGCTTCCCCCATTCTCTCTCTACCTGCCTTTCTGCCTACTTGTGATCTCTGTCTGTCAAATAAATAAAATCTTTAAAAAAAAGAAGAAGAATTTAAGAGAAAACCTACATGATAGTTCTTTAAAAAATATATATATACAATAATAAAGGCACACAGCATTAGGGAAAAGAAAGGCAATAACTATCAGAAAAGCAGAAACCTAAGTGACTCAATCAGTTAAGCATCTGCCTTCAGCTCAGGCCATGATCCTAGGGTTTTGGGACTGAGTCCCACATGGGGTTCCCTTCAATAGGGAGTCTGCTTCCCCCTCTCTTTGCCCTTCCCCCACCTGCTTTTGCTCTCTTTCTCTCATTCATTCTCTCTCAAATAAATAAATAAAATCTTAGGAAAAAAAAAAAAACACCAGAAAAAAACACTACACAGGAGAGGAAGTGTAACAGGATACTAGCTGGTTTTGCAATTGACAATGTTTATATAGTCAATATGAGGTTAAGGTCCTTTATCTTTTCTTTATAGTCCAGTCTGAACTTCGGATGGCAATAGTGGAAATGGAAATGGATCTGAGAAATGGACAGACATGGTGATAAAGTGACACCAGGGAAGAGGTAACAAAGATAAATGAGGTCTGGAGGGAGGAGCAAGATGGTGGTGGCGGCGACCTAAATTTCCTCTGGTCCCAGGAATTCAACTAGATAGTTATCAAACCATTCTGAACACCTACAAACTCAACAGGAGATCAAAGAAAAGAAGAGCAGCAATTCTTAGAAACAGAAAAGCGACCACTTTCTGGAAGGTAGGACATGCGGAGAAGTGAATCCAAGGCCATATATGGAGAGAGAGACTGTTGGGGGTAGGGGCCGGCTCCAGGCAAGCGGTAGAGCAGCAGAGCACAAAATCAGAACTTTTAGAAGTCTGCTCCATGGAGGGACGTCACTCCAGTGGCTAAGTGGGGATGGAGCCCTCACGGGAACAGCGTGGTCTCAGGAGCTGCAGGGTGACAGAGAGACCAGGGGTGTCTCAGGGTGGCAGAGCTCCCAGGTGTCAGAGCAAGGAAGCCGGCTGTAGAGACAGAGATGAGGGGTGCGCTCAGCTCAGGTTACCTTGAACTGTGATCCGATGCACAGTCAGGCCACTACTTTTTGAGCAGGGACCCCATTAAGTGGCAAATCCAGGGAGACCCCGCCCCCGCCTTCCTCCACAGGGAGGAGCCGAGCAGGAGTGTGCCTGGGGAATCTGCTGGGTTTGGAGACTCCAAACAGGGCTGTGTACCAGAGACAGAAATGCTCAGTCACAGGCTGTGTGGGCTTGGAGCGCAGTTGGAGACCAGAGAGATGGGAGGGACTGACTGCTTTACTCTAAGGGCACACTGAAGAGGGGGTCCCTAAGCTCTCAGATCCTCTGGGGCGGAGACTGGGAGACTGTCATTTTCATTCTCATCCTCCAAAGCTGTACAAAACGTGTTCACAGAACAAAAGCTACCAAGAGCAAAGTTGAGCAGATTGCTTAGCCTGGCCCCTGGCAAGGCCGGTGCAATTCCGCCTCTGGCAAAGATATCCAAGAATCACTGCAAGAGGTCCCTCATCAGCAAGATCATCCAGCCAAGACCAAGTTTACTGATCAATGGGAATGGGGCTAGAGGAATAAAGCACATAGAATTCATGGCTGGCTTTTTCCTCATGATCCTTTAGTCTTTCAAAATTAAATTTTTTAAATTGTCAATTTTTTCATTTTTAAAAATTTTTTCTCTTTCCTATTTTAACTACTTTATCTTATCACCTTTTATTTATTTTTTTAAAGATTTTATTTATTTATTTGACAGAGAGATCACAAGTAGGCAGAGAGGCAGGCAAAGAGTGAGAGGGAAGCAGGCTGCCCACTGAGCAGAGAGCCTGATGCGGGGCTCGATCCCAGGACCTTGAGATCATGACCTGAGCCGAAGGCAGAGGCTTTAACCCACTGAGCCACCCAGGCACCCCTATCTATCTTAACACCTTTTAAAAAATCTTTTTTAATTTTCATTTTTACACTCATATTCTATTCCTTCATTGTATTTAACCTTATTTTTTCTGTACATATAAGTTTTTCTTTCTTTAAAATTTTGAGATACAGTTTCTTCTAACAGACCAAAATATATTCTACATCTAGCCTATGGCTTTGTTCTAGTCTCCAGCCTGATCACATTCTCTCCTTTTTTTTTTTCTTTCTTTTTTCAACCACCTGTTTATCAATTCCTTTTTTAAAATCATTTTAAATTTTCATCTTTGCAGTCATATTTGATCCCTTCATCATGTTTGCCCTTATTTCTGTATATACATAAGTTTTTCTTTCTTTAAAATTTTGGGAGGCAGTTTCTTCTAACAGACCAAAATACACCCAAAATCAAGTGTGTGTGTCTGTTCTATTCACCAGCCTAAATACATATATATATATATATATATATATATGTGAATTTAGTGCCATTGTATTGCCTGTAAGGTGATTGTTACTGTATATTGTCTCTGTTCCTTTTTGGTCTGTTAGTTTTAGGTTCTCTCTTTGCTTAGAGGACCCCTTTCAATATTTCCTGTGAGTCTGACTTGGTGTTCACAAATTCCTTCAGTTATCTATCTATGTATATGTATATTCTTTTGGTTATACATAAATTGTTTTCCCCTTTCTTCTCTCCTATGTTTCATGTCTTTTCTGATTTGGTTAGTGTATACTTTTCTGGTATTGTTGTTAGCCTTATAGCATTTTGTTCTCTCATTCATCTATTCTTCTCTGGACAAAATGACAAGGTGGAAAAACTCACCTCAAAGAAAAGGACAAGAGGCAGTATCGACTGCTGAGAACCTACTCAATATGGACTTAGTAAGATATCAGAACCAGAGTTCAGAATGACGATCATACAGATGCTAGAAGGACTTGAAAAAAACATAGAAGATACTAGAGAATCCCTTTCTGGGGAATAAAATCTCTTTCTGGAGAAATAAAAGAACAAAAATCTAACCAAGTTGAAATTTTAAAAAAGCTATTAATGAAATGCAATAAAAAATGGAGGCTCTTTCTGCTAGGATAAATGATGCAGAAGAGAGAATTAGTGATAAAAGATGATGAAATGATGGAGAATAAAGAAGCTGAGAAAAAGAGATAAACAACTACTGGATCATGAGGGGAGAACTTGAGAGATAAGTGATACCATAAAATGAAGCAATATTAGAATAATTGGGATCCCAGAAGAAGAAAGGGGGGGGGTGCAGAAGATGTACTGGAGAAAATTATAGCAGAGAATTTCCCTAATTTGGAGAAGGAAACAAGCATCAAAATCCAGGAGGCACAGAGAATCC